CGCCAGCCCTGACCCTCGTAGGCAGCTGCCCCGCTCTCCTGAAGCTGCTGCTCCCCTTCCGAGACCCGGCCAGGCTTCCAGCTTCAGCAGCAGGGAAGGGGAAAAGCACAACCTGCGTTTGGAGGCCTGCGCTTCCCCCTCGGTGCTAAAACAAAAAGTGTCGAATCCTCCCTGAATAATAGCTGGGCTAATAAAGGACTGGGCCCCTGGCTTAAAAGCCTCTGCAGATTTGATTTGGGAGTGATTTGTTAAACAAAGATGATTAATGGGGGAAGGCATTTCCTGGCATGACCAAGAGATCTGAGGACCCCCGGTAAAATCTGGAGCCCTCGCTCCTGACAGTCATGAACCATCAAGATCATCACTGCTAAGGACTGTTTCTTTCTCTAGTGAAATGAATACTGGGCATATAGAATGTGGAAATGACCAAAAAAAAAAAAAAAAAAAAAAAAGAAAGAAAGAAACCCCAAAACACCACTTTTTTATGTGGATAGGGTGATATACAGTAATAGACATGATACTGTTAGCAGCAGCCTTCTCCTGGCAGTCAGTACCACGATGGAGAGAGAAAAACAAAACAAAACAAAACAGAACAACAAATACCCAGAAAACAGGACTTGTGTGCATTTTGTTATGTTTATAGTTCAGAAGTGATGCACAACACAGCGACATCGCTTTTACAAAATCCCTTTCCTCATCGTAAGTGCACTTCAGGCCATTCACAGGATGCTGAGACGCGTTTAGGAAATGGAAAAGCTAGTTCCCATAGATTGTGTCATGATGATGATGATGAGCGACGTAGAAGCCCAGCAGTCGCTTTTGCTGTTACATAGGGTTTCTGACATAGATATATAACTATATATATATAGTTCTGACATAGATATATAACTAATGATTATATATAACTATATAACCATTTATAACTACGTATTAGCTTGAGGTTAAATGAGAAGGGCTTCCGGCACAGGACAATTACCCAGTAAAATAAACAGGAAGTATAAAGCTGCTCTCAAAAACCACTAGCCAAACAGACCCAATCTGTCCATAAAGCACACCAGATTTAGGCTGAAATTCCAAGGGTGGAAGTGCAATTTTAAAGGATGTTCCAGCTCATTTGTTGCAAAATGCTGTATAGTAGCAGTATCAATAACTCATTTAAGAAGTTGCTGTTTACACCGAACGACTTTCCTATCAAAATAGGCTGCCTGGCACTGGGCAGTTAATGAGCTCCTAGAGGATTTCCAAATAAAAGGTTAGCGTTTATTTAACTGAGAAACTCTGTCCCTTGATAATTTGTACTAACACAATCCTCTGCTATACTTTCAAATAAACACTGAGGAACTGTACTGATGTTTATTTTATCTCTTAAAGGTACCGCTTTTTCTAAGACTATGAATGTGACAGATACAACACAGCTAATTTCTTTAGCTAAATTCTTTAACATCTAGAAATTAACGGCACCTTCATATTGCTAATTGGCTGATAGATTCCCAAAGGAAAAGAGCCTCCTTCTTGTGACCAGTCCTGCCAAGACCATGGCTGAGTCGAGCATGAATTCCTGACAGGGCTAGGGCAAAACGTACACGCGCTGATGATTCTGGTTTTTAAAATGTGAATTAGCAGCCATAATAAATTGCCTTTTACAGTAGGAGCTTCTACATGTATATTTTTCTGGATTCACTGCCAAGTATATCTCGGATGATCCAGGGAGATGTGTTAGTAAGTACTCTGCTTATAAACTGGTGAGAGGGGAGTCACTAGCTGGAGCTGGAGCTGGAGCTGGAGCTGGAGCTGGAGCTGGAGCCATCCCCAGCTGCTGCAGACCTCCTTGTCAAAGATGACAGATCTCCGGGCCTCACGACAAAGCCTTGCAAGGAGCAGGCTGTCCTTGCCACGCACCTGGTTCTGCCAAGCTTGAGGGCGGGCAGTGGAGGGGGGCAATGCAGAAGTGCCGTGGGACGCGCCACCCACATTTTCGTACTGCAGCTGACATCCAGCGGGGCTCAGCCCTCAGCGCTGTTGTTCRCGCTCCGCGGCTGTGCCGGGGGAAGAGCCGCGTGCCAGGGCCCTGCCTCCTCACCGCCTGCGCGCTGCCAAGGGAGCCCCACGGGGAGCGTGTGGGCAGCAGCCGCGAGCGACCCACAGCAGCAGGGCTGCCCCTCGGCCCTGCCTTGCGTGCCCCGCGCGCTGCAGTGATCAATTATATAAATTATGTAAATATAACACGGTTCCGATGGGACCGCGTGGATGTTGGAGACACAGTGTGTTTTCAGTCTGAAGACTTGATTTCTTCAAGTAAAAGATTGTGAAGTTAATTGTGAGTCCGGCGAGTTTTGACTTTTCCTCTGGCTCCGAGCGATCGCCTCCCTTTGTTTCGAGCAGCCTGCTGGAATTGCTCGCTCTGAGGCTGAGGCTTTGCCTTTTATGGCTTCCAGATTTTGTGGCTAATTGCAAAGAAAGCCGTTTTTGGAAAGCCTGGGCAATACATGCATGAATCACAGCAGCAAGCCATTGCTTCTGTCTCCCAACATGTATCATGGAACTATTTTCTTCCATTCCTTTTGTAGTACAGTACATTCCACACTGTGAATCATTTTTTCATGCAAAAATAGCAGCCAGCGATGACTCTATGCTCACTTCATAACAGAACAGCAAGAAATGGCATCCCGTAACTAAAGGGCCAGGTTTAGCAGAGTTGAAATGAACTGCTGCACACAGGCAGGTTTGAGTGTCAGCTGTAGAGAGATTAATAGAGGCCTGACCAAATGTTTCCTAAAAAAATGAAAAATAAAAAAAATATATATTCTGGTCCTTGGGCAAGATCCAAAATGCCACATAAAGGTGACAGGTCCAAAAAGGGGCTTGGATATTGAACACTAAATAATGCCATACCTACAAGCAAAATAAAATGCTATCATTTACAGTGCTGAGTTAGGTACYTATGTTCCCTGTGTGTGAAAGGAAGGAACTAAGCAGCTAAGAACCAGATCTAGYGCAGTCTGCAACGTGCTGGGCTGGGGGAAGTGCAGAGCTTAGGCCCGGCAGTGGTTGGGCTGCCTCTTCCCCAGCCCCTGCCTGTTCTGCAAAGCGCTTGGGCTGAGCTTTGCCGCCCCGGGCCAGGCGAGCAGCCCAGTCCYGCTGGAGGCCAGGCCAGCGCTCCGGGGACTGCCACGCTAACTCAGGCTCGTGGCCACCCTAAAATAAGGCGGCTGGTCAGGCCCTGGCCAGCCCGGAGCTGGCACCTGCTCGGGATGCGGCGCCGTCCTGCGCAGGCCCTGCGGCTGCTCCCTCGGGGCCCCGCGCAGGCCAGGGCAGCGACCGTTCCGTGAAGAGCAGTCCTGGTTGGAGACTCTACTGCTGTCCAGCTGCTCCGCATGGACCAACGTGGCCTTCCTCCTCTGCTGGAGGAAGGCACTGCATTAATCCTTCCTTTTCCAGTGCAGGAAATTAAGTCTGGTGACTTAGATACTGACTGTGAAAGCTCGGTGACTTTGCCCCAGGGAGTTGCCCCTGAGGCAGTTGCTCCTCTGGTGTTAGAGTAATTTGGGTATTCTCCAGTGAAAATGCATCCAAATGGCCTTTTTTTACAGGAGGTTCTGTAACTGGAGGGTTATTGAGTGAGGCACAGGTATGAAATTCAGCTAGCTCAGAACTACACAGGTTGGCACTGTTACCACAGGCCTACCTGGCATCTTAATAAACAACACGGAGGATATTTTGAGTGAAATGCTAAAAAGGAGCTGCAGTTGCCTTGATTCTGATCTCTTGCACCAAACTAGGCATTGTATTACAGCAGCCAGGGAAGTCATGTGATAGAGTGCTCTTGCTGATGAGATTAGGATCAGCCTCTGCTCTGCAAAGGCTGAAGGCGTTTTAAGTTTTAAGGASTTGTAATTTAAGCAAGAAAGCAATTTTAGCCAGTCATTTTTCSTGCTGCATGGACATGACATGCATCTAATCTACTCACTTCTGTCTTAAGATGAAGAAATATTCATCCTTTGAGTCATCTTCAGTCTCAATTCATCTTAGCCATGTCCTCAAAATATACCTCCGCCTAAATCTAGATCTGGTAGATGCTGCACACTTCTATTAAACTCTTACAAGAAAATTTAAAAAAAAAAAAAAAAAAAAAGAAGGAAAATACTGTTTAACTTGCCTATTTTTTATAGGATGTTGAACAATAGCAACCGCATACATTGCTTTTCAGTACGCACACCATAAAAGGCCTTCAAGCTCAAATAGTTGGAAAAGGAAAGCTGAGAAATTTTAATATTTTGTGCAAAACCCTCTCAATATGAGCCCATGTGACTCTTCAATGAGCAGTCTCATTGACACTAAAAAGATAATCAAGCAATGCACAAGCCGTGTTTAAAGGGTCGATGCCCTCATGCACCACAGAATACAAGTTGTGTAGGCCACAGGCATGTGAACAAACCTTCCTGCTGCTACGAGGATATGATGCACCAGCTGGAATGAAGTTACTATTGATTGTTAGGTTAGATAGTCGATAATTTAATTACATTTTTTTCTGCAATATTTTAAATGGTTACTAACTCCATAGCTGTGGTTGTCATCCACACGGAAGTTTAAAGAAGAGAACATCATCAGTGCTTGAACAGCTTCTAGGTGATGTCCGTCAGCTTAATTTAAACTCAGCTTCTACTGCAGCTGAGACTAAGGAACTAGCTCTGGCAATGAGCAGCAGTGTGGACATGGATTGTGATCTTCTATCCTTGTTGAGGGAAGGGGAACCTCTGGGCTAGGGTTAGAAGCAGTAACTGGAGCAGGTGACTTCTTCAGCCACCACAGCTTGATTCACCAGYTGAGCTGATTTGGGGGCTAAGCTCATGGAAATTATTTTGCCTATGCTCAGATCAAACATTCATCTCAGCTGACACATGACAATTTATGTTCATGAATTAAATGTAAGGTATTATTTTTGCATTTTAGATATCCATGCCTATTTTATTAATGGGAATATTTTTCTGCTTAGTACTTACTGGAATGAAGTAATTATTTGAGGACCTCTGGACAACAGAGCGAAACATAAACTGCCTGCGTTTTGAAAAAGAAGAAATTATTGTCATTTGAGTAGTCACTATTACTTATACTCTCAGGTTTTGCAATATTTTCTATCATTTTTATATAACTACACTAACTTATGTGCACATATATATATATATATGCACATACACACAAAATGCATATATATAGCAAAATGTCTATATATTTATATATATAGCAAATATATAGCAAAATGACTATCTGGTTTTCATTCTGGATGCTGTCGGGCAATATAACAGAATTTACTGCAAACTGCCCACTCATGTTCACACATAAGCCTGAGGGCTTTTTATCTTCAAAGTGGATTTTAGCCAACTCTGGTCTGAAAGTTATGACCACAGTGATATTTACCTGGGCTATGTGCCTTGCAGAAGCAGAAACCCTGTTTTTTTCAGGGTGATTGAAGAGAGTGTCAAATGGAAGTCACTTTTTGAGCCCCAGTTCAGCAAAGCTCATGCTTGACTTTCACCACAGGCTTCAACCTCTTACTCGTATTAATCACAGGCCTAATTATTTTCCTGAGTATGGACTTAAGCATGTGCTTAAAAGTAGGTGCTGAACCTGGACCTAATCCAGAGATGCTCAAGATGGGCAATTAGGGCTTGATCCAGATACCACTGAAGTGAATGGGGGGACTTCACTGGGGCTTTGTTTGAAGCGTACAAGTGAGAAACAAGGGTGTGTGCTAGTACTGAAGTACACAAATGGGTGTTCCTGCCATGTAATTTTAGTCTGATTTACTTACTTGGAAGCAAATATGGAAACTGGGGGAAAGCCAATGTCATACTGTCCAGGTGAAGTGTTGATATCCTGGAAGTAAAAGCAGCATAGAAAGGAAAATGATAGGACAAAGAAGTCTGATTTCAAGTTGCTGTTTCTTCCAAGAGTTCAGACTCACAAATATGGCCCATCATTTTGCACAGGAATCTTTCAAAGCTCTGATCTCGCTTAAGAACAGCTCCCAATAAAGCTGACTCTGAAGCTTTCCTATAATGTGCTAATACTAATTAAAAAGTTGCAAATGACAGAGTGTTTTGGAGTTGCTGGGAAGCTGGTGGAAATATCAGGGGAATTAGGGCAAGTCAGCAACAAATAGGCCTTTGACTATGCTCTACCTGGAATGAATAAGGAAATAAGTTTATGTATGAAAATTGTTAAAACATAAAAAGTTGTAAGGAACACAGTTTAAAACTCTGGTTGTGTATTTTCTACTGAATAGTGGTCCTGACAGCCCTCACCCACTTAACTCGGAAACACATWTATCTATTTGTGCATATACCATCTATAAAAATGTTTACCTTGTCTTTAAAACATAAGGTACTGGGACTTCCTCTCGGTAGGCTTTTAAATGAGTATGTTGCTAGCTTTTTCCTTGCCAGATCTATGAAAGTAGGAGGAACGTATGCAGAAGCGCTTGGTAGGGAGCTGTCAGTGGTTTGCTCGTAGATGGGGGTTCTCCTTCTGCCTTCTCCTTTGAAGCTGTACGTGGGTTTCACGGGGTTGAGCTGGGCTTCCTGCAGGAAATCTCGTACTGGGTACGTGCCTGGTATCGGTGTGGGCTGGTTGGGACAGAAAGCAGGTGAGCTCTTCGTGCAGCTTCTCCTCCAAAGACAGTGTAAATGCAAATTCTCATTGAGAATTTTAATTAAAATGGTACTCAAAGACCAGTGAAAACACATGTTGACACTGGACCCTAATTGTTTTCCCAGTGAATGATTAAAAATGGAGGGGTGTGTTTTCTGATGAAAATTACTGAAATAGCAAATAAAATAATCAGTGCAGAGCTAGGGCGTGGCGTGTTTACAGGCCAAGGGAGGCCTCTTACTGGGAAAGGCCTGAGTGCTCCCCGGGGCTCTTCCAGGTCAGCRAGGAAAGGTTTAAGGTCTGTCCCTCCACTTAGAGGAAACAGAGTGCAATTGAAGTGGAGGACACTATTAGAACGACTCCTTTCATCCTACTTTGCTAATAGTGAATGGCAGTACTGGCTTTTCAGTGCAAACATCGTGCTTTGATTAGCACGAGAGAAAAGGCTTGGTAAGGGCTGAAGAAAATGAACACAGAGTTGGATATCGGAAGCATTTTCTGCCTGTTTCTGATAATAAAATGTAACKGCATCAGGTGTTCTCTGGCAACTCCCGGTTTGCTTAAGGTTGTTCAGCAAATCACCTCAGTAGGTGCTTGCCAGCACTGCACRGACTGCAAGGAGGCACCATCCCCTCCGAGTGAGCTGTGGGACAGGGACTTGAGAGAGACACTTCCCATGTGCTTCATTAGCCAACAAGTGAAAAATCGTCTTTTAACTCMTGTTATAGGAGGCAGCCTCATCTATCTGACAAGTAAGAGCCATCCATTCTAAGAAACCTTCCCTTCAAACAATATACTCTAATGTCACTGCTTCTGTAGCAAAGATTACTCTTCGATGAGGACATTTAATAAGCATTTTGGCTCTCTTCAGTAGCCAAATAGAGCTTGTCAGAACTTTGCCAGTAAAACCTCATACTACTACTACTACTAATAATAATAATAAAATCTACAGCACAGCAATTTGGGCCATGCTGTGATGGTCCCTCACGATCACATGGAGATTCTTGAGAGCACACTGGGATGTTTCTCCTTACTGAAACCTTCTGTAGGGAGGAGGATAACAGAGGCAAGCCCAATGGAAAAGGCAATGGGAGGAAGCTACCAGGATAAGGAGACAGGACTACACCAAGTCCTGCACACCCTCACCTGATGAGTATTTTTAATACAATGCTGTATGTCTGCAGCATCTCTCCCAAACCCAGTAAAGCACCATGAAAGGTTTTTAAAGGCTTTATGGAAAGCCATTGCCAGCAGAAACCCTGCACAGCATCAGGCCAGCTGTGCTCAGGTAAGCTGCTCTAGCATGAGTGTTTCAAAGGGGATGGAGGAGCAAGCACAGAGACCTAACTTTGCCTCGCCACTACATTCCAGCTCAAAAAAMTGGAAATGGTTCCTAATGGTGGAAGAACAAACAATTAAAACAGCAGGGAGAATCAGAGAGACTGCATGTTTGCCATTGTTTGCAGAGGCACTTGCAAACCAGCCTGTTCATCTGGCAGAGCAGAAGTCACAAGACAACACCTTTAATTTTGGGTAGTTTATCAAAACATAAAGCCTTTAATAGCAACATTAATTCCAGGATAGTTCCTACAACTCCCAAAGTTTCAAAGGCAAACCCTCTTCTGCAGCACTTCTCAGTTCCACCATATTAAAAAAAGAAACTTCAGAAGTTCTTCTGATGTAGAAATGTCACATGAATCAATTCCAAATATTGGAAATTTTCACGCACCCTAACCCTTTAAGAAGCTTGTTTTTTAAGCATTTTCGAGGCATTTTGAATTAATTGGAGTTCTTCACTGATCTTAGGACTTCCACTTAGACCTTGAAGAAATGCCTAAATTACAATTTCCCCATGTAATACAAGTGAATATCAGCAACAGAAGCCTTTCCACTACGGATATCAAAAGTTTAAAAGCAATCTTTCAAAGGATTCAATTTAGCTAAGGGGTCATTTTTTTAAAATTTTGTAGTTGGTTGCTTAAATAATTTGGAACTAGAAATAAAAAAAAAAACTCACAGCCTTCCCAAGTTTGCCAATGACCTAACACTTCCCACCAGGAAAAAAAATAGTTTCTTTTTACCTATTTTATTATTAGTTTGTTGGACATGTGTGTGAAGGCTTGTTTTTCATGAAGATCTGATTCCTGAAACAGCCTTCCCTTCCAGCCAGGGAGAGCACCAGCACAAATGCCTCCCCTTGCAGAGGATTAGCTGCATTTCTCTATCACTGTAAAGAAGCACCCGCCCTTTGAGATGGTGCTTTGGTTCCAGGCACAGGTTGCTGCAAAGGCAGAGCAGAGCGCGGATCTGCACCAAGGGGCCTGTCAGACAGGAGGGACGTTCGACCGAGTGGTGACCACGACATTAACCGGTGAGCAGGCAGCACCATAAGGTGGMCAACTTAATGGCTGAAGGGAGGAAGGCTGGAGGGAGATCCTCCCTGTTTATATTCCTTCATCCTCCCTTTTCCCTGTCCCCATTTGTTCACTCTTATTTCCAGCTCAATTCTTCCTGAAATAAGCCAACTCAGCCCCATGCTGTCATTACCTGATACTGCCCAATACCCTGTGCATGTTTATTTTGTAGTAGGATCTACCTGCYATTCTGTATACCTGTATCATCCACTAAACTGCAGACCTGATCTTGATTAACCTATTGAAATTATGGAGTGCTTATTGATGTTATTTTTACCAAAACTTTTAGGTCTTTCAAAAATCAAGGCATTCCTTTGGCACATTTTTTGCACAACTTCCTCAAGTGCTATCTCAAGGCTCTCTAGTTTGAGACACAGAAGTCTTCTGTTTTGCATATGCCAAAAGTGGTGGAGTTTGTTTTAGGAAGGAGAAAAACAGAAAGGAAGACTCAATTCCAAAATAAAAAGAGCAATTTACATCAGCCAAAGGCAATACTGCCTGCCCTTTAAAGGAGACTGGAAATGAAAAATAATCCTGAATTTTAGTTCACAAGTTTATTGGAAGTCCTCAACAATGCGTTTACCTCAGTGTAGACAGACCCCTTTGCAACTCAGGGTAACCTGACAAATACTCAAGGTAGCCTGACAAAATGTGACTACTGTTGTGAATAACGAATAAGAAGTCAGGAAATCAAGCACAKATGCTAGTTCTCATTCTAATCCCAAGGAAAAAGAGCTGGAGATGCATGAGGTAAAAATATACATACTCTAAGGTAAACTCTCCACCATCTCTCTCTCTGCACCAAAGTTGATTCTCTCTCCTTTTCAGCGTTCTGTCAAGAAACATAGATGTATTATGCAGTGCTCATAGTACTTCAGCTACTATCCCTCTGGGCTGACAGTTTTCTTAGACTATACATCTCAGTATTTCTGTCTCAGCTGTCATCTCAAATATCTACTTCTCCATCTGTAAAGGAGTATGGTTACTTTTAAAGATCGACTTCACAGGAGTTCCTTGGAAAATTTAACACAATTAAAGGGTCTCTATTACTAAAATTCATTTCACATACTATCCTGGAATTAGACTTCCTAAGTGTCTATTACTACACAGAAACTTCGATGAGAAAAAAAAACTGCAGTACTTAAATAAGAGATGTGACCATATTCCGTTTTTTTTTTCTCCTCTATCTTTCACTGCCAATGCCTAGCAGTGATGATTAATTCTAGGCCAAGGAAACTCTACTTACTTACGCAACAGATGCTGGGTGGAGCAACAGTTCAATACAGCCTGTCTCTTAATTTGGTCAGGGTTATCTGAGGGATGGTACAGCTAATTATAAAAGTATTACACGTACCCATATCAGTCACTTTGCTGCTCATTACACCCAGCTTATTAAGTAGCAACTCCTGAGAGGGACCACCATGATGCAGCACAAATTTGCCTGCCTAATCCCTGCAGAGCCGCATCCTTGGAGTTCACCAACCCTCACACCTATACCCAGTCATTGCTTCCCACAGCTACGTGCAGCTCCTGTTGTACACCTTTCTGCCTCTGGAGCTATCATCTCCCTCAAATCAGGTACCTTGCCCTTACCTCAGCCTCCCGCTCGCTTCCTGCCTCACCCCTGGGCTGTCACTAGTTTATTAGCTACATCTCAACAGGCAACCACAAGCTTCCTGAGGAACAAACTTCCTCACTCAAGGAGCTGTTTCCCCACAGGAAATCTCACAAAAGCACAACCAGTTAGGGAAATACCTTCTCAAGAAAGGTCAGAGACTGACGCTGCACTGCTGAAACTGACCTCAGGCTGAAACTTGGCTTGAGGTCCATGGTGTCCCAGCATCACCTCTCATTTCTTATTGCCTATAATCCTGTTTGATGACTCCCATCACAACTTGGAGCAAGTTAGAGGGCCATTGTCAAACCATGCCAGGCTGTAGCAGCAGCTACTTAGCTGCCTTTGCTGCAGAGGGCCACCAAACAGCATTCTGCTACAGCCAGCCTTCTATGGCACCCATAGGGACATTGTGACTTAGTGACACCATCACTTAAGTACAATCCTTAGCCACAGCCTCACCCTAAAAATTAGAAAGCTTAAGCAACACTGGCAGTTTTGTCACAAWGTTGTAGTACACAAAACTTGGTCTAGCTGTTGTAGCAGGGAGCAGTAGAAGCTTCATCATGTCAGAGTTAATAGTAGCTTTGATCTAGTTCTGTTATCAAGCTCTTTAGGGCAAAGTACCACTTGGAATGGGGCTAGAAGACTTCAATATTGACCCTAGAAGGGATCAGCCACTGCATTCTCAGTCACACCAAAGATGCACCTGAATTCTTGTGACCAAACACTGAATAGGGAACAGCAAAAATGGGATCATAATTAAAAGGCACCTTCTTTCAAATTCATTTGTTGTGTGAAAGACTGTTTTGGCTAAAGCAGATACCTTTAACAGAGCCCTCTTAACCCTACCAAATTGGGCATCTCCACACAGGTCAAATTGAAGGTCCTGGTTCAAAATATGACTGTCAGGCCACCGAAAGTCAAGGCACTGGGTGACAAGCAAATGCAGCCTCCTGATAGATCTCAGTTTGCATTACTTACCTCTAAGAAGGTCACATCCAATACTCCCAAGATTTAGCATCTGAAGTGTTGCAAGTTCTTCTCATCCTGCTCTAGTTTAAAGCAAATGTCCTATGTCCAGCTTGCTAGGCTGGTCATCGGAAGGCTGCATAAGAAATAGCTGGATCACTTGCTATGGTTTGCTCCTTACAAAAGAAGGGGCCAGACAAATATTATATTTAGATCACATACTTCATGAATCCAAGAGTAAGTGAACAAGTCCCYCTAAGATTGAACTTTGATGCCAGCAAAGGAAAGGGTTTTAGTATGCATCCTCTCAAAGACCAGCAGAGCAGGGCTTTTGAGGCTCAGTGACCACAAATTCAATTTATTTAGTGTCTGTGAAAACAGCATTATCAGTTGCCCTATTTCACTATTAACACCCCACCGATGCTACAAGAACTGTAAAACACTAGCAAAMTGCTCTGCTGGGACCTGTGAGGGTTACCAGAAGCAGGGGCCAGTGCTTTTGTTTAAAGGTCAGAAGGCCCAACTAAAATACCATGTTTAAGACCACCCGATTCCTCATGGCAAGTACAAAGCATGTGGCACACACCGTATCTGGCATGCTCTTCAGGTCTTAGACTTGTCCTCAGTCAAAACAGATTTTTTTTAAATCAAAAGCTTTAAAACCCATGACCACAAACTAGTGCTACTGGCACWAGCAGATCAGGAAGAAAAGAATTTTCTTGCATACTTTGAGCYGATTACATCTTCAAAAAACACAGGACTCTGACATAGCAGTTTCAGAAAAGTCCAGATGTGATACTAAGTCACCCCAATGTACCAGATGACAGGGAATAAACTCCAAATAATTAAAAGAAAGCAAACAGGTTTAGTTGTCTGAACAAGGAATTTTAATTTTAGGTCAACTATTGAACTAGGTCAACATCCAGTTCACAATGTCTACAAATAGTGGGCATAACCAGTCACTACGGTAAGTTTATTGAAGCACCAAGCTCCACACAAAACTGTAAAATACATTTTAAACTACTAGTAAGAAAGCTTCTCCAAGTCAACAATACTATTAAGGGCCAGAGTTTAAGGTCTAAGTTTTCACCTTCCAAGCTATTTTAAGACAGCCAATCCATTGCATAAGCAAACCAAACTGCTACATACTGAAACATTAGAGCAGCAACTGTATTGAACAAATTCTGTAAATAATTCAAGGATACATTGAAACAGTATGGGTAAATTGTAATTTTTTATTGGAAAACAAATATACAACTTGGAATGGATTTGAGGCAAATCGTGCCATAAGCAGATTTTTGAAAATAAGTGGCTAAACAAAGTTTAAAAAGCATAGTAACAAGAGGAGAAAATGTTTTCTGGTACAGGACCAGCAGTACAAAAAAATTGTGTACGAGTACCTGGATATACACCCGTTTTGCATTAGTGCAACTTTTAAGTTTCATATTGTTGACTGTCAATCGTCCACAAAGTTAAGACTCCACATTTCAACAACATGTTACAGGTATGGCCACAAACAAGTTACCATGAAGCAAGTTAGGAGAGGCTTTTTACAGCGCATTAGCCACTTCACTATGTACTGTTTACATGGTTTAATCCTGCACATAAGGGCCGAGAGTCCTCATCATCACAGAAAGCAGAGCAAACTATCTTTTATGCATTTGAGAACTATAGCCAGCATGCTGCTTTAACTAAGGAATAGCTAATGCACAGTAAACCCTAACTTGCCTTACGTAACTTGCTACGTTAGTCATACCTAAGTCTCCTAAAGAAAGCTATTTTTTAAACAGACAACCCAGATGTTCCCTCATTGAACCAACTCCATCTAACTTTAGATGTGCAGAAGGGCTTAAGTATCCAGAGTAAGCCACATGCAACATTTGTTACTTTGATCAATTTTCCAAAAATCAGAACAATGACAGTAAGATAAAGGAGAAAAACATGGAGGAATGGCCTTCTAATTACTATACATGCATATTCTTTTGACAGTAAGGGAAAAACCTTTTACAGATAAGTTACAAACAGAGAAAAGGCAAATAAACAATTTTGTACAAGAAATTTAACACATTCTGTACAACGTCTTCACTTCGCTGTCATCATTTGTACAAACTCTGTAAAAGGAAAGAGTTACAGAAGAGTTATTCAAAGAAAAATCTGAATCACAATATCCCGAGACATGTCTTGCCCTCAATTCTGAGACAGTGTCTAACCTTATTAAGCATAATTAAAAATCCTGAAAGCACTCCTCCTCCTACTAGCCATACCTAGGAAGCTTTTTTTTTTTTACAGGGTAAGTGACCTTTCATTAGAAAAGTTGGTCCCCACTGAACTGCAGAACTTTAACACCAAAACATTTATATCCTCTCCCACTTCTCAATGGGCTACAGATAACTGCTCCTAGTTGCCCTCTCTCAAAAGCAACACACTGAAGTTACCATCTGCTCAGTGCTCAGGAAAGGCATTACCCTGCATGAACCCTCTTCGAAGAGAAAAAGTTGAAGTATTACCATTCTACTTAGCAATGGGTCAAACCTGAGGCCTCGTATCTCACAGTACATGGCAAGTTCCCCACARGCAACAAGGTTCTTACTGCACCCTATGTACTTCATCTACAACTCAGCAAGGTAACAGAAGGAGGCCGGGAATCTGAAAGGATGTTAACTGCCTTGTTCACAAGCTCCARAAGAGCTATCCAAAACATGCACTGCCTACCCTTTTTAGCTTACACAGGTAAGGAAGCTGATATTAAATACAATTACACAGTGGTGGTGCCATTAACAAAAATTCCTTTCCACCCTACCCTCAAATGAAGGCTTACCCTGAGGTCACAACCAAATGTTTTTCAAGGAAGCTAGACTTGCAGCTTGAGAACAGCAACGGGACTATCTGAAAGCATCCTAGCTCATATTTCTACTCAAATGCTTGGAAAGCTTCATGTTTGAGTTCTAGTAAACTAACAGAAGCCTTTCTGATTGCAGAACTTACTTTGCTCTTTTCACACTGAAAGTATAAGTTATTGCTACAACTGACTCAAGTCAAATCCTCCATCTTTAAAAAGTCTTCTGAAGTTCTTGAAATYGCTTAAGTATTTTTAGAGACTTCCTCCCCTTCTGACTGGTAAGCTTAACAGCACTAAACTATAGTGACTTGTTAGAGATCAGTTGATTTCCTTCCCTAGTTTGCTTTCAGATCAACATTTATCAGTGCAGTATGTGAACACAATACACATCATCTTATCCAACTTCCTTATTTTAAAATTTAACAGATTTAGAGAACTTTTTAAACACTACACAGATGAGTAGCCAGCTCACTGCCTTATGTGCAAGACAGCAATAATACAATCTTAGGCAGATGTACATAGTCTTTGCACTGGAAAAGTGAAATATTACCCTAAAGGAGCACCAACTGCCAAGACCACCTCCCAGCTAAACACTGTCCTACTGATGTAGATACCTAATATACCATTATTGTGGTGTGGAAACTGCTACACAAAGAGCCAGTTCACAGCTCCTTACCTTCATAGTTTACTTGACCATCACCATCAATGTCTGCTTCCCTAATCATTTCGTCAACTTCTTCATCTGTTAGCTTCTCCCCAAGATTTGTCATCACATGGCGAAGTTCTGCAGCACTAATATAACCATTACCATCCTGTGAGGGGTAAAAAAACAAGTCTGGAATAGCTTTGTCTAAAGCCAAATAGTTTGAATACAACTTGATGTTAAACTTGTTAGAAACACTTTCAAGAAATTAGCATAGCTTTATCCACACACATTAACATGAGGCAAACAAGAGCTGTAAGGCTATGTTCACTATTGTCCAGATATTTAGCCTTYGGCTAGACATTAAAAACTTATTCCGTATAGTCCCAGGATGTATTTCTGTTGAAGAGAAATCCRCATCTTTTATAGCCTCTTAGGTGATGGATGCCACCAGTCATGTGACTCATATCTATTCTTCAGATCAAAAGCTGCTTCATTTCACCTGCTTCATGCATACAGAAAACAGGTGTAAGGCCACCCCAAGCCTTCCTAGCTGATACAGACCCAAAGCTGATAAGCCCTCCCCCTMCCCACAAAGCTACTCAAAGTCTGTAAACTCAACTAGAATTTTACATAACAAACAGCAGGTAAAAGAACAAGGATTGCCACTTAAATATTTAAGCAACTCCCCTGCTAATCGCTTATCAAGTTTGGCACCAGTTTTGGTGCCATAGCAATGAGATGATATAAGAGCTTACTATTACCCAGGAGACATAAGCACTTGTTTGACTTCCACTCTACTGGAGGACTGTCCTTGAATATTATGCTGACTAGTTAACTGAGAAACCAGAATTGGTAAGACAGCAGATACCTCACTCAAGTGAGAAAGCCCATTAGAAACCAGTTTGAATTTTCCCAACAAGMAGCTTAGTTAAAACAAACATTTTAGTACCTTATCAAACACACGGAAGGCTTCTCTAATTTCTTCTTCGCTATCTGTATCTTTCATTTTTCTTGCCATCATTGTCAGAAACTCTGGAAAGTCAATTGTGCCATTGCCTGCAAGATACTTAATTTGTTAGAAAAACAAACATGATTTTAGATTTCTACCAAGTAATTAGCTATTAGTAAAATCTTACCATCAGCATCTACTTCATTGATCATATCCTGGAGCTCTGCTTCTGTGGGGTTTTGACCAAGTGATCTCATCACCGTGCCCAACTCCTTTGTAGTTATAGTACCATCACCATCCTTGTCAAATAGTGAGAAAGCTTCTTTGAATTCTGTACAAAATAAAATACAGTTAGTATCTTCAGGCTCAAAATGCCAAGTTCACTTAGTCTTACAAAAATCCAGGGTACTTTACAGTGTTAAGTTACCAAACTCTCAAGACACCTCAATATGGCAGATAGCTACAATTGCAATACCAGCATTTGGACAAATTCCTGCCAGTCTAACAGTAATAGCATCAATCTAAGAAAACCAAAATAAAAACCATACAGAAGGGTCATTCAACTTCAGAACTGCTTAAATACCTACAAAAGCTATCTAGAACCAGAATTTAATGCAGAACTAAAAAGACTAGATATCCACAACCAGAATAACCTTTATCATTGGTAGGATTTGTTTCCCTAAGGCATTTCACATTGGAAGAATATTACTGATTATAATCGAGATTCAGGTACATGGTCAATTTGAACATGATAGCATTCAGTCATTTAGGTTTAAGTTTCTTCAGCTGTGACTTTCACCTGTCAATTTCAAGAACTGTCTTACAACCACAAAAGTAGTAGTTTTTACTCAAGTTCCTCTTATGGCTGCTTTTCTTATAAGAATGTAGTAAGAAATGATTGTAAGAGAAATGAAGAGTGATAACCAAATGCTACAGCTTAATAGCACTTTTACTGAAAACAGCTCCTAGTAGCTAAAAACATATTAGCTAAAGAAACATCATGTTCTTTTGTTCAACTTCTGCAGCTCTTCAGTCTAGGTACATACACAACACYTTAGTAATCAGCTCTTCAAAGGGAAATCATTTAGTCATACCCATTTCTGAAACGCTGTTCAAGATTGCTTCAGTCCTACTGCATCCTGATCAGTCTTCAYTGAAACAGTTGTGCTAAGACCCCATGTTTCAGTGTTGCTTCTTAATCCCCCTGCCACTACTGGCTACTGTCCCCAGCAATATTAATACAAGCACATGTTTAATTATGCAGTCCAAATATGGAGATTATTTTAATCCATACCATCTGTTTGTCTTCAGAAAAAGACACCCAAATTTAAGTTTACTGGACTAAAACACTTCATGCAAAAAACACACAGGTTGAGTGGTTTTTTAAATAGGAAACATTTCACTTCATAGTTCAAATCTATTCGCAGCTTCAAGGACATCCGAGTTCAAGGCTCTGGAAAGCTAATTAACTGAAGAGTATTTCTACATCAGTAACTCTTCCACAAATTAAATTCTTGGTTCAAAGAAGCCAGTTTTCCGGATGGTGGGTTTCCCAGCTCAGAATTAGTCATGGCAAGAGTTTTGTTATTGTCACATGAACAGCTTCAAGTCTTACTTCATCCATTTCTTACTCTAACACATTTAAGGTGGATACAAGCTGTCAAGCATTAAAAATACARGTTTTTACAGTTCATGGACATACCTATGACAGTAAATCCACACTTGAGTTTCATCAAGATGGAAGGAAAAAAGCCTACATTTCTGTTTATTGTCCTAAAAGCCAAGTCCTGTGATTCAGTGAAATCCYGCTGTTCATCTCTAAGGATCAGAGCAAAGCTTCTGAAGGACTAAAGGAAACCGTTCAAGCCAGTGCAGTTTGTGCTATGCAAAAACAGGTCTGTTCAAAGAGGAAGCTAAATCTYGTACCTAACAAACTTTTAAATGTTCTTCGGTTAGCAGTTGCAGTTAGCTTAGTGGCAAATACACTGAAGGAAAATTATTTACCACAGAAGAAAGGTTTCTTGGTCAAAGCTTCCTTCARTCCTTATAGTACCCTTACTTCAAGGGTACCTACTTAGCTTCAATCTTAACTGTCACTAATGCCCCACCATAAAGCAGCACTGCAGTGATTCCTCTTAAATACAGCACTCCTACCCTAGAAAGCAGAACCAATACATGGCATATTCTGAATACTTTAGATGGACCATTTGGGGAACAATCATCTTTGAATGAATAATACTATAGGCTAAGAAAATGTCAGCTACAAGCTGCATCTTTATAGCCAGAAGTTAAAAAGATCAGCAGCATTTTAATTTTTGAAATCCTGAATGAAGCCAAGAGTACAATTAAAACATTCAGCTAGCTCTTTAACCACTTCTAGTAACCACCTCCAGTAATTAGGAGCAAAGGAATTACAACCTAAGCAGATAGAGTTTACCTCAGAACAAGAATAGCCCAGCACAGCTCTTGAAGACTTGTGACAATGGCTAGCGGAAGAGTAAAGGCATCTAGGAAATGCTGAAATTTAACGTGATAGTTCAGTTCTTGTTTAATAACCTTATCACAGGAACCATCTCCCTCCATGCAACTCCATGTTATGAATAAAGCAAATCCTCCTAGTTACTTAACACCCCATATCCAACTGCCAAAACTCTCTCCTCAGTCCTAGATACAGCTACTCTGTCAGAGGTATTTAAGGACATGGTGCTCAGAACAGCCTCTTCAGGCCAGCCTGTAGTGGCTGAGCTYTTTCTTTCTTCATAAGGAAAGCAATGTATCAAGGGGAAGACTACTTTCAGGCTGCGCAGTAGAAGGCWGCCTAACAGCACATTAACTCCAAAATACCCCAGCTCAAAGTCAGTCTAGGAACAAATGTTTTTCAGTCATCTCAGCACCACAGTTGAGTCTTGACAGCTGTAAATGGCCTCATATTCAGAGCTAAAATTCCTATTCCCACTCACATGCAGTTTAGCCATCTAAGCCTCTTTCCCACCCCCCACCTTAAAAGGGGAGTATCATCCATTCTTTTCCTTGCCAACAAGAGCTTAAAACCTAAACACGACTACCACTACTGCAAAATAAATTCTAAACAGCACTCAAATCTCTAGAGCTGCAATGAACTAGGTGACACAGGCATAATAAAAACTCCCTGCATAAGCCTACCAGTTCACAAAGTCACTTTAGGGGAAGCTCACCAGATTGTTAGCAGTAGGACAAGACACATACTTATTTTCTGACAACCACATTCACTAGTCCCAACTTGTTTTTAATGGAAGGCTCAACCAAAGGGGCACCTATTTGTCTTGGTAACTTCAATCCTTACAGTAGGTGAACAGTAGTTGCAGCTTCATTCAGTACCTAACTCAAAACCAACACTTTCTATGAAAGAATAATCCTGGGAGGTCTTTCACCTTCAACTTCTGAGAACAAAATCTTAMGTCTTACACGACTAGTGCATGCTAAAGTTAGCCTATGCAGCACAGAATAGGAAACCTTACCAGAATCTACCTGTACTCTGATACTTCAGAGCAAGGTAGAAATAAAAGTATTAAAAAAATGGTAGCTTTAAATACTGAAGTAAATGTAGTCTCTATCTTAAGCTCTCCTTCAGGTCAAAAGTTAAATTGCTTCAAAGAAGCTGAAATGGATTAGCAGGAGCTCAAGCCTTTACCACACAGCTCGAATCTGTGTCATACATCTAAACTGCACCACTRATTTTTTCACCCCAGGAGACTCAGGACTAAAATCGCAAAATTAAGTGGAATGCTCAAATAGCCRTCTCCATTCCTAAACACCTGACATCACTCTTCCAAAATACTGGGGAGCTCCCTAACAAACTACCAAGAGATTTAAGTCTCTTTATTAGAGTGATACATTTTCCTTGCATACACATTTGCTTAATGAAATACAGGAGTTGAAGTGACAGATCACTTTCCACCAGACTCTGATACTAAATTACAATTTTCCCACAGATGAAAAAATTATACTCAAGTACTAGCAGCTGATTTGCATTCATTGCCACAGTATTCACTGTCAATYATTATTGATTAGCAAATATTTGGACTAACTTTGACATTATTAATACATTCCCTGTTATTCCATAATCAAATTCACTACTAAAGCTTCTACAGTTAAGAATGAACTATTATTGAAGAATGACAAACAATAAAGCCTGCTTCAACTAAAGTGAACCCAGAAATCCGTAAAGCTATGCAGGCCACTTGCAGAAACATCTCTAGTCCAACCAGACTTGGTTTGTGCTTACTCATAAGGCAGTTCCATGGCAACAAGTAAACAGACTAAGGACTTGCCACACAACCATAATTAGTCTCTTATGAATTACAGCTACCTTCTAAAGACCAAACRCTACAGAATATTCTTATACTTCAAATTTGGCAATCTTGAAAATAAAGCAGGTCATTATGAAACTTCACTGTTAGTGCTATTTAGTGATGATATAACGCTTTAAAATTGAACTATCWTAGGGTCTGTATCTGTCTGGGTTTTATTAGATTAGCCAGATGCTAAMACCCTCTAAAGTCACTTCACATGACACTTCCCCATTTCTCTTTAACAAAACCCTTGTCCAATCAATCCAYTGAAATGTTTATATCCATTACAGGAGTGAGTTCTACGTTACCAATATACTGCAGGTTTAAGTCGCACCAACTACTGAAGTTGAAATCAGCCTTTGTAAAGCAATGACAGATAATCACTCACGCAGCCCACATGGGCAGGAAGTGTGATAACCAGAAGTTTGAGTCACTAGTAGCGCAGTTCCTGCACACTAGAACTACTGTAGGGTGAAGGGAACAACTCTAGAATTTGAGTTGCCTATTTCAGGGAGCATTTCTGCAGCATCAGACCATCAAATGCATAAAGGGCATTTACATTCAAGTATACAACACTTTCAATTACGGCATATCAACTCTTGGCCATCTTGAAGGCCCAACATCTCTACTGCCACCAAAAAGAGCCAGAAAAGTCTGATGTACCTCCACCGACAACAGACTGGAAAGCAAGGTTCCAATGTTTTGGTCTTCTATTAAAAAGCATATGTAGYACTTCAGACTCCAAGTCTTTAACACAGATTTCCCCTTGACACAATGTCAGCACTACAGCACACTCCAGTCACTTTGTAGCTAAGAGAAGAGTCTCAAGTCCATAATCTACTAAAATATTAGAATTGCTTTACAGGAAGAGCTCAAAATGGAGTTTCACTGGATTACACTGGGTGGTATTAATACTGCAGTTTTATCTTTGCAGGAAAAAAATATCTTCACATGGCTAATAATAGCAAGCTATGAGGACCATCTAATTAATTCTGGAGGACAAAATGTCAGATTCATTGCTTCCAAGGTTTTTTTGACTGAAGGCAAGCCTTTAAGATTTAGCTGACAAATTAAAGCATTCCACACTAGTTGTTTAATTCTAAGAAAGTCAAATGTCTTGCATATAAATAACTTGCACTGTCACTGGATTAAGAGACATGCCAGGTCAAGTAGGAGTATCAACACAGGATGTAAGTCTCACCTGCAATCTGCTCTTCTGTCAGTTGGTCAGCCTGCAATAAGAAGAGAATATTATTATAGTTTTGCAAAAGACCGGAGATAGATTTTGTAGAGGCTTTAAACAAGGCAGCTGCTCTTCAAGACTTTAATGTTCAAGAATAGTCCTAACCAAACCTCAAAAGGTATCAGGTCTGCTTGCTGAAAACTGGCAAACTGTCTTCATTTGCTGATCCTGTAAGTACCATGTACACCCAAATACTACACTACCATAAATATAAACAATTACCCAATCAACACCACCAACTSCAAGGCATGAGTGTTCCTCTAGGTAAGTTTAAAAAACAAACACACTCATCAACTCACCAGACTAAGTTTACTTACTTCAGTAAACAGTCTCAGCTTTAATAGTAAAAAAATCAGGTTTAAACTTTGTGACTGCAACCCCTAGAGCTTAGGAGGCTCTAGTCTATTAAACTATACAGCCATAATTATAGAAACATACTCTGCTCTCTAGAATGAGGTGATCCCTTGATTGACATGAAGCTTCATGTTCAAGATCCAACAGTAAGAACAGAGTCCACACCATCAGTGCTAATGGCTCCAAAACAATCTGGTACTTAATACATTTTTATCTTTTTTTAATATCACCACAGACTTGAGTGGTGTAAGGGAGTTTACAGAGATACTGAGAGATGAGAGGCATTGTGTATTTATCATTTTTGCATTAGTAATTCAGTAAGAGCCAATTCATACTGGACAATTGAATCAACTGAATTGTCCAGCAGCTGAAAACAAAGAATTGCTTTCAAATAAAGAAATTCAAACCAATTCTTAGAAGTATAAAGGTACTTGAAAATCTAGGGAGAAAATACTTCTGCTCAATTGATTCTCCAAGCAAATTCTGGATTGCCTCAGCTGAATTACAAATGTGTTTCTTGAAGGAGACACCTTTGACTTTACATGACCACCTCTGAAACAGTTAAAAGACTTAAAGGTGGAGAAAACCAATGAACTCAAACACCTCATGAGGACCACCCTACAGCAAACTTTTCAGGTTATAATTACCACAATATTGACAGTTGACACTATTTTCAATTATTACTTTTTGCCCCTTAAAGTTTGTCTACACATGCCTTTTCTCAGCATCTCTTTAGATGGCATAACTTGTATGTATTCTATCAATTATAACTTAACTAATTTCAATTTGAATTATATTTGTACACCAAATACAACCCTGGGAGTTACCARCTTCTGCTTATTCTGCTCAAGAGGAATTGGGTTAGCACTTCAGGCAACCATAGCAGGGCTAGAATGCTCTAGAACAAGTTATGCATGCAGTGACAACGCAAGATTAAGGCAAGAATCAGCCATTTCCCAGGCTGTCTAGACATCCACCTACTCTAGAAGAATCCAGGCCATGCTTGTGAGCAACTTCTAAGCTGAATGGTTGGTTATACCACAGCAATATACTACTTTTAATTTTTGTACCTGTAGGTAGTATTCACTTATAGCTTCAACATCTTTTAAAGACATACTTGAGAGTATCAGCAAGGCTACTCAGAATCTGTCATCAATTCAAAACAAGCCTTGAGATACAAGCCTACTGCTGCTCACTTAAGAGAAGACTCACATATGGCTGCTCACATGTTAATTCATTTTGCTCTCTCACGTGAAGAGAATAATGTACTACATTTCTGCAAGATATTTATATCCGCAGAAGGCTGCCTGTCACATTTAAAGACCAAGAACAGTTTATTCAGATCAATACTTAGGAGTTATCAGGCTGAGTCACATAATGCTTTTTATAAGCATTATAGAGAGCTATTATGTGCTATTTAAATTGCTAGGGATCCCCAAGCAATTTATCCCCCAACTCCTCCAGGGATTTTAAGCACCCTATAGCCACTAACCATAAAAATGGATAAGCTCTGTCAGTATCTGTAATGGGTACTGTGTTTGAGAAGAACATGAGGACTTGCTAGAAGCCACAGGTAAAGGGCAGTTGCAAGATAAGCAAGGAGGTGGGGCAAGGTTGAACAAACACCATCTGTACACTGCAGTGCTAGGCTCTGCAGGGGCTGCTGCGCAACAGCAGCAAGAGGCGGAGCCAACATGCAGGCTAGAACTGCCTTCGCCATCACCTGCATGGCATCCACCCACCCCGATCCACACATGAAGCTACAGGCCGCTGCAGTCTCCTTACAGGGGGGCCTTTACAACTTCCTCTTCCCTGTTTTAAACACAATATTCACAAAATACATCTCTCACACTATACCGGCATTCCATAATTCAGCATATCTAAATGTATATTTCTGCAGCTAAGTCATAACCCCAACCCATCTGTGCCACAGCAGCTTCGATAACCCCTTCTTTTTGTGAAGGCCCACCTGAAAACCTTCTCCCCCACATCTTCCAAAGAGTGATGTTTTAACAAACATTTGCCAAAGAGCTAATGAGCCAAAAAGATTTTCYCCCCCTCTCCTTCCTTTATTGATAATAGAATCAAGGAGCCTGTCACAGCTTTCATGACACATTTTCTCACCTACTTGCCTGATATTTCATTTTTACTACAATAGCCCCCATTGCTTGCACAGATTATGCCGCATGCCTGACCGAATTTAAGCTTCCTAAAGGGCAGCTTTACATGTGCAGCAATTTCAGCAGCAYAAGCAGCCTCTAGAGGAAGTGCTCCATTTTAGTCAGAACAGCTACAACAGCAGGCAGTCCCCCAACAGAACCACATCCAACACTGCATGATGGAGAACTACAAGCAAAGCACAGAACAGATGACACTGCTCTTCCCCTCAAATTGGGGTTTTATTACATTTCACCAGTGCCAAGAGCTGAATGGACAGTTCTGTTCTGGCAGTATTAGCTGCAGAACAGGAAGTAGAAAGACTAGCATATACAAGCTAGAAATTATCCTTATTGTATGTTAGCTTATTTTGAGTGCAAAGCTCTCTGCTCTATCCAGCATATGCAGCATTGGACAGCACATATTCACAGGTTTAGCCAGTCTGGTCTGTCAGGGATAACTATAACCACATTCAAAATGTCCCTCTGGCTTCTGGACACACCCATTTCTATGTAGATCTTGCTTGAAGATACTCCTTTTTTGCTCTCCATAGAACAAGACTAAAAGCAAAATAGAAGTCTTCTGCTGTCAGATTCACTGCTTTACAGATAGCTAGCCATATACAGGTTGACAATTCACATAAGAGATCAAATTCAGGCTCCTGGTCACCTCTCATCCTCAACCATCAAGGAGGAGGCTTCAAATTTAAGGGCCCATCTTTTACATCAGACATTTTGAGTTCATGACGATTTGACTCCTTAAAAGCATGTAATGAATGAAAAGGCAATCCCACTAYACTGCATCTTCTCCTACTGCAGAGGAAGCACCATGTGGTCACTAGCGTTGCTTTAGTCACAGAAATGTTCCTTTTTTAGTCACAGAATTGTTCCTTTCTGTACATGCCAGTCTCTGCCTGCTTTAACAAGTAAATAAATTCTGAACGCCCAAAATCCTTCAGACAGAATTAAGAACAATCCTCCAAATTCCAYGCAAAGCGCCATCAACTCGGCAGCTGACTGAAAACCTAAAAAGACGTAATGGTATGAAAAAATAAACGGGGCTCGATCAGGAAAACGCAGCACTGTCCATCGCAAGGACCAAAACAGGAGACATGAAAAAAAAAAAAAAAAAGCGGGGGGAATAAAATAGCTGGAAAAAACCTTCGTTCCGTGGAGCCCCCAGGAGCGAGGCGGCACCCGACGCCGGCAGCAGGTCTGGCGGGACGGGCGACGGCCCCTCGCCCTCCCGCGGGGCTCCGCAGTGCCCTGGCGCCAGCGCCGCGCCAGCCACCCGACATCTTGGGCGCTCGCGGCGGCAGCTCCGCGCGCGGCCGCGGCGGGAAGGAAGCGATAAGAGCGGCTGCCATCGTGGCACCTTTCCTGCCCTGCCCGCCGCAGCACCCACCCCACGCGCGATCCCCCCCCCCTCCCCGCGCGGGGACCGTTACCCGCCGCCCTCCCGGCCCCCGCCTCACACACACCCCGACAAAGCGTCATGGCGCCCGGGCCGAGTGGCAGTTTGAATTTTGAATCCGCACCAACGCCCCAGGGCGGGAAACGCACCCGGGCAGGACTCATCCACCGACACTTCCTCCTACGCACCCGGCGCGGCGGAGCGGGACCCTCGGCGCCAGCCCCGCCGGGACGAGCCCCGCGGCCACACGAGGGGCGCTCGCCCCCCTGCCCCGACCCCTCTCCCCCCGCCCCCGCAGCGCTCTCGCCCCACACCCCCCCTTCCACAGGCGACCCCGCCGCCGCGCAGCGCCCCTCCGGCGGCAGCCCCTCGGCGCGCACTCACCATGGTGGCCCGGCCCGGCTGCGGGGTGGGGTGTGGCGGCAGGTAAGGGCTGCGCGGGGGCACTGCAGCTACCGTCCCGCTCCAAGGCTCGCCTCACACTGAGCCCAGCCCGGCCGCCAGCGGTGCCTCATAAACCTCCTCACAGCCCGCGCGGATCGCTCCGCGCCGCTCCCTCCCCCCCCTCCCTTTTCCCTTCCACAGTCAACGGGCGGGCGAAAGAAGTGCCGGCTCGCGGCGCTCTTGGCGGCGGCGCCACCCGCAGCCCCGCCGCGCCCCCTCCTCGCACCCCGCGCCCCCAGCCGCGGCCGGGCAGGGGGCAGCGTGCGGGGAAGGGGCGCGTGTCACCGCGGCGCGGGGCGGGCGCGGGACGGTTGCGGGAGGAAAGGCTTATGGCGGGGACTACTTTTCCGAGCGGAGGAGGATTTTAAAAAGAAAAATGCCGAGGCGTGCAGGGGCTGCAGAAGGAGGGCGCCGATTGGCCCGTTCGTACCTGCAATGCGTCACTTGGACATGCACAGTCTGCGCTGGGGAGCCGTTACCCCTCCCCCCGCCCGCAGTGCGCGCCGCGCGGCCCGGCGCTAACGGCCGCCCGGCGCTAACGGCCGCCCGCAGCCAACGGCCGCCCGGCGCTAACGGCCGCCCGCAGCCCCCGGGGCGCGCGGCGGGGCCCCGAGTGCTGCCCGGGACCCCCGCGGGGCCCCCGCTGCGGCAGGGAGTGCGCCGAGGCGGCAGAGCCCCGCAGCGCCCTGCCCCTGCTGCTGCTGGCACACGTGCCGTGAGCGGCAGGGGCGGCCGCGGCCTCTGCAGAGGTGGCGCTGCGGGCAGAAGAGGGGCTGCCGGGGGGCTTCAGGGCTGCGCTGAGGGGTGAGTGACGGCTCCGGAGCAAGCACTGGCCCCAAGCCGCTGTCCCAAGGCCTTTGCCCGCCCCAGCAGGACTGGGGACAAAAACCATGTCGTCTCCCGTAGCACGTTACCTCGGCCTCACGGTCTGATCGACTCRCCCCAGGGAGCACCTTCTCGTTAAAAATTGTCTCTTTTTTCTAAATGTCATCCTTCCTGGTGTTCCAGAAAGCCTCACCCGCAGAGCAGCTCAACGAGACTCCCTCTGGGTCCAGCACAGTCCAGAAAAATCCACACTTGTCTCCRTAGCGTGGCCATTGCCCGTCACCCAGGCGCATCGCCGGGCTCCCTCCTGGCCCATGGAGCAGCAAGGTGCCTTCCCACATGCCGAGGCCCTGTGCCCGGGGATCACGTGTGGCCAGCTACTCATCCCGAGTTGTCATATGGGATTTCTCCAAGATACTCACTTGCTGYTACTTAGCTCAGCCAAAATTTCCAAACTGGCAAGTATGGGCTTTCAAATGCACCTAACGCAGCTAAAATCAACACATAACAAATAGCTGCCACCTTTGCTGCGTTCAGTGAAAGGAGGGCGGCCTTATTTGGGGGCCGCCAGTACATTACTTCGCTTTGAGGGCCCGAATCTGAATTTTCTGACTTGTTGGGAACAAACCACCAGTAGCAGTACGACAAAAACAACCCCTTTCTGTTCTGTGGCATTTGCCATAGAATTGTCCAGCTGATATTTTTACAGTACAAATTTATAACTACCCATGCATTTTCACCAATAAATAAATAAATAAATAAAACCCAAGAGCAATTGCTCTCACTTCATAAACTAAATCTGCTTCGCTCACCACTGCTCTTTGTAGTCTTTGTTGTTTATAGACCATATAAATAGGATGCTCTTGCGAGAGGACGAGCACAAACAAGCTCTATAAAAAAATGGGTAGTTTTTCCTTTTGAGCACTAACTGAAATGCTCGGGCCTCCTCTCTGCCCGGAATTGTTCCTATGTTCTCTGAACTCGGGATTTCAAGGAGAAGAGCAGGACAAGGCCTTGTTTCCTGAAGTGCTTGGAGGCTCCTTGTTGGTGCTGGGGCTTTCCTTGCCCCGTGCTGGGATTGCAGGGAGCTGAGCAGACAGCGGGGTGGGTCGTACGTTTGGCTTTCAGTCTGGACACCTGAACTTACAATTTGGTGACGCTCCTGCCCTCAGCCCTCCTTTCGGCTTGAACATACTGCTAGCTGCCCGAAAGCCAAGCGCATCGCGACCAGCGCCTTTTCAGACTGATACGTGCTACAATGTGGAATATCTGACGAGATGAAAATCATACTTTGTAGGGAAAGCAGGGAAGGCCAGGTGGTTATGCCCGCCTCCCTATACATCCGCAGCGTAAACCAGGAGCAATTCCTCCCTGTGCTCGGGCTGTTCTAGGGCAGCTGGATAAAGAGAGTCGGAGCTTTTTTACCCTCCCRCCCCATGCCCCCTTTCATAGAGGTTCAGGGATTTCCCTGGTGTTCCCAACTGCCCCAGGCGTGAATCACYGCTGGCAAATTCCTGATGGGAAATTCGCTGCCCAGCTGGGCTCCGGAGCAGCGTCGCACGGGGCACCTGCACAGGCACCTGCACCTCCTAAGGTGCTTGTCCAAAAGCAGAGGGAAGGGCCGTGCTTTATTTTATCCAGATGTTACCACATGTTTTATCAAGGTCCCGAGCCTGGGACTGCGAAGTGGCTGCCTCTAGGTCTAGAAACACTGAGGCAAGAGGAGACAGGAGGCCTAAGGTTTAAATAAAATTTATGCTCTCTAATTATGGCCCAGAGAGTCTGCAAGGGAGCGAGGACTTGGGGACAAGCATTCCAGGCCTCAGAACCTGCGATAGCGTTTTTCTTATGTCCGTTAAGCTATTGGATATGGATCACTCATCACAAAATAATTCATACTTTTTTAGTTATATCCAGTTTGCTTTACAGGGTGAAGAAGTGGTCAGTAAGGTAATCCTCTTTGTGCCYTACGTTTCCTATGTGCTCTGCTTCCTTGGTCTATTTTTCTCGCCTTTCCCTGTTCTTAGGCGTCTCCTTTTCTCTTTCCCATCTGCATCCTCCTTCAGCAGTACCCATTTCCTGTGGGCTTCATTACCACCCCCATCCTCATTCCATCTGTTGAAGAGATCAGCAGCGAAGTAACTGAGTGAATTGCACCAGGAGTTACTAGTGGCACCACTCGCTGCTAACAYGAACATCCCGCTGGAGTCCACGGGACAGAGAGGGGAGCTGGTCCCGCTCCCAGGCAGCTAAAACAGCAGCTCCAGGATCCCGAGGCTGCTGCCGGCTCCCGCTGCCGCTCTGGGCACTTCAACACGACCCTTTCTCACTCTGCTACCTAATTTAATAGATTTGTCGATGCCTCTGTGCTGCTCATTCCTTTTTCCTTCATGCAGACACACAGCCTTATATAAGTCCAGTTCCAGGACCGTGGCGACAAATTAAGAGAAGCAGCTTAAGGCACAAGGCTGGGGGAGCTGTATATGCCAGCAATTTCTGCAGTCACTTTATAGAGTACATTTAATATTGTGTATGTTCAGTTTGYGGCTTTAAATATATCTTCGTGGGTTACGTTTAGTGACGTATATGGAGCACTGTGCCACGGCCTAAAAGGCTGTGCTTGCCTGCTCAAGTTTTGCTATGTCATTTCTGCATAGATTATAGTAATAATTCGAACAACTCAATTAGAAATTAATTGCAAGTTGTATATGTGAATTTCTCTGATAAGGAGAAAAAAAAGGGTTCTTGGAGCGAGTACTAAAACTTAACTAACTTCTTCATATGGAAAGAAAATAGCTCACACTGATTTTTCATAATGAGTTTATTTCTTTTTGCAGCCTTGTCTATAATGGAGATAGAGCCCCCGCCACCCTGAGAGAGGGCTTTATCTCCAGTTCCAACCATAAATCACGCAGCCAGTGCCTTATTTGTGTGAAACTAGGGTGTAAATCAACACACAGCCACTCAGAGGTACTTGGTAGGCCCATTCAGTGTTCAGCAAGGAACAARTCCCCTGCTGTATTCACAATTCTAAGGCCCTAAACCAGAAGCTCTTCTTTCCAGCGCTCTCACAGCACATACTGATTGGATCCCATCTGAAATCTGGGAGTCTGCAGGAACCGGGATAACTGCTCACCTGGCTATCCTCGCCTCACCTGGACACTACCGGCTACGCCAAGAAAACGCAGGCTCCTGGCCTGCGTTCCGTGGAAGCCAGCGCCTCCAGGGCAAACACGGTTGTGACAGCAGCTGTCCTCCCCTTACCTGCCTTAGCAGCSGGCTTTGTGCACGGCGTGTGAAGCAGGAACCCTTCACACCTCGGCTGCGCAGCGCCTGCGAGCCCCTGGGAAGGTCTTTTTGAGGTGGATTCCTCGCGATGCTCTGGCATGAGCAGGAAGCCGAAGAGCAGGGGGCTCCATCGGACGCCCGTGAGGTCCGACGGGGTCCCTGTACGACCCAGACTATGGGCAGCACCACGGGAAGCGCTTGCTGGAGCTGTATGGACACCTGAGTCCCAACACACACCTTGCCTTGCACCGCAGTGCAGGGGCCGAAGGGAGGTCTGGGGAAGATGCTCCCTGTCTCCRCACCATCATTAAGAGCAGAAAGCTACTGGGAATGAGACCGCCCCCCGCCCACCTTTTCAACGAGGATAAAAACTCCCATTTTWTGAAGATTTCTGGTGCAATATGGTCCATTAGCCTACACTATTCTCTGGATTTCTGTGGAGAAAACATTACTGCAGGTTTCTGTCTCACCAATATGGAATTCTGGAAGCCATCCCCCAGGGATGCAGGGTATGGGAAAGCAGGCTTTGGCAGAGGCAGTAGGAGATCCCCTTTCAAAAGCATGTTCTGAAGTATAAAAATTAATCAACGCATCAGCACAAGTTACAAGCAGCATCCGGCCCTTCTCTTGCTTCAGATTGTAAAATACCTTAACAAGAGGGAAAGCACCAAAATTACATGTGCTGCAAGGCAGCAGAAAAGTGCCTACTAGAGATCCCACAGTTGTTCCCTATGGCACAGTCCGGATGCCAGGGACTGAACAGCACAGCACTGGCAAGACGTAGTATAAAATGCTGCGTGTTCCAATTCCTTGGGTTTCTGCCAAGACTTATTTTTCTCTTTTTTTTTTTGAAGAGATCTGAAAGAAGGTCTTCAAGTATCACCCGCACAGACACCCCATGTGGATCAGGAGCCTCCTCCTTGGGGCTGCTGCAGGGTTACTGCTGCCACGGAGCTGAAGGGGCTGCCACCCTTAGTGTCCGATGGGCACTCTCTTCAGCATGGAGAACAGAACTTGCAAAATACTCACAAATGAGCAGGGGCTCAAATTTTGCCATTTTCTGGAGTAAAATAAATAAAACAGACCATAAAATACATAAAATAGAGCAATACATAAAATACATAACATTGTCCAGCCAGACCATGCCATTGTTACATATTGGTTTTCAGTTTGCCTCAAGCTGGGCACACAAAATAAAGAATGAAGAAAAACTACAGTGGAATTAGCAAACCTGACAAAATGCTTCCAAATAAGTAGTGCTTAATCTCTTATGTAAAACTTCCCCTAGTGTGGAGAACTAGGAAGAGAGCGATCAAGGAAGCACGTCGTAATCTCCATTTTGAAGGCAAGAGATAGCAGGAGGAAAAAAAATGCATCTCCAGGTCTGAAGACAGTTAGTTTTGGTTATTTCCTACATGGGAGTTTTTCATCCTGCCATTTTTCTTTTCTTTAACAGAATCGTAACAGAATAATAGCTAACTCTTGATAAATAACTACTGGAGGAGGCAAAGCAGTGCTTATAATAAAATTATTGCTACCACCTGAAATAGAGCATATTACCAAACACCTCTGTGCTGAAAAACAACAGGATAAATTAAATATGTAAAATTTTAGAAACATCYGTATGTAGTACTTGTATGCAACAAATTAATATAATGTTTTCCCACTACTTTTTATTGAGAAAAATGAAATGTCACAAAATATTTTGCCTGCTTCCTATGAGAGACATAAAAAATTTTGCTTAAAACTGTTGTGCGGACACTTGCTGGGATTGAAGGTTAGAAAACGCTTTCATTTCTTACCAACAGCAACCGATGAAGCATCAATGCTTAGTGACTGTGCACGTTTGAAATATAATAAAGCCTGACTAGACTAAAGAGAGTGTTTCTGCTCCCAGTTTTTGGCTAAATAGCCGTTCTAGTTCACCTAAACTGAAGCTGCTCTYGAGATCCAAACCGTATCTTTTATCCTCGTGCTCTAACATCCTGCCCTGCRGAAGGGATGTGGTTTTTCCAAGCGGTGACACTTGCAGAGCCCTACCTCTGTTGAAGGCGGGAGGAGTTCTGCCAGCTCTCTTTCAGTGGGTCACATCCTGAGCATCTTATTCAGTTTTTCCTTTATCTGAAATGAGACACACTTTTAGAGGAGTTTATCCATGTAAGGGCTGACTGAGCGCTGAACAAACAGTTCAGAATTTGGCTGTCTTTTACAAGTAATGATTCAAAGCTTTGGTTTAGCTACAGAGGAGCCTGAGCCATGAAATCTGAATCAGGATCCTACCTTTGGCAACCTCACATGGCAGCGATTTTTTTTTCCCCCCAACATCTTTTATTCCGGCCCAAGCCTGGCCTGAAAGCGCTGGCACGGGACAAGGTGCGGAGCAGGAGCGCGAATCCCAGCGCGCGACGGGGCGCGTACCAAGATAGCCTGCAGCCACATGCCGCCTCGCCACTGACCTTTATCTGCAGAAATAGTCCTGACCTTTGGGACGCTCAAATTAGTGCTCGAGCGGCTCCAGCAGCCGAGCGCCGCAGCCCCGGCGCGCTCGCCCGGCCTCCTGCGCGGAGGTGGAAGAGATGGGGAGATGGAGCCCCAGGCTGCTTCCCTACCCCTGTGGACATCTCCGCGTCGAAGGGATTCCGCCAGGGGACGGACAGAGCCGACCGGAGCCTCCGAGCATTCCTGAGCAACGCGGGGAAGCGGAGTGAGGGATCCGGCCCGGCACTGAGGGAGGAGGTGAACCACACCCCGGTCCAAGGAGGTGTCTGCCACGTCCTTTCATCATCCCACTGCGCCTAAAAAGAGTCCCAAAAGAGCTCTAAAACCACAACAAATTCAATAGGTTGCTTTAAAGCTGTAGTAGTTCACAAAACACAGACCTCTCACGTTTAAAATCTGCCTTTTTTTATCTTATTCAGTGGACTGTGGGTTGTATAGGGTTTGGTGCACAGGATTAACTCAGTAGACCAAAGCTAGAATGCTCTTACATGTAAATAAACATTTAGTTCCATTTCAAAATACATAATTTGTATCCCTTAAACCTCAACAGTTAGAGTTTTTTTTTTTTTTGAAATAAGTATTTGCACARTTTTTCGCGTTGCTTAAAAGAGACCCTCTGGTGCATGAATGACAACATGGCCTAGGCCTGGAAAAACAAATGAATGCACTACTTTTAAAGGCATGATGGAAAAAATACAAACACTGAAATTTCTTTTTAAAAGAAAGATTCCACAGACATTTCAACAAGAGTTTCTTATGCCTAAAATTTGCCCCAAACCTATTGTTTTCTGATTTCCTATAACTAAAGTTTTTTCTTTGAGGATTTTTTAGACATGTGACAGCTGATATTAAGCATATCTTTCAACACGATGTAAACTTCACCTGCACAGAACTGTAATATTTCAATTTGACTCATGTTAAACATTCTTTAATGAGAAACTTTTAGAGACTTTTTTAATTGCACCAAGGAAAGTTGTTGGGCAAGTGCCAGGATAACATATAAGTAATCCCCCTGTTTTTGAAACTACTTTTAAGGAAGCCATCCTGCAAATAAGAGGTGGTGGTGGAGGATGCTTAAGCACATTACATTCTTTAGCACCTGTGTTGAAAATCACCCAACAGTTCTGCTGCATCAAGTCCTCAGCTCTGCATGAATGTCCAGCCCAGACATTCACGCGGTGATTTGGGATGAACTGAATTTCATTCCAGGTTTTAGGAGCATCCTTCTGGAAAGGCTGCTATGCCACCTGTATGTGCCCGGTATCCTTAGTCAGCCATCCAAAGAGCAAATGCTGAGCCCCTCTATCCCAAGAGGATGATGAGGATGAAGGCCCTCGAGAGCCGGGTATGACTCAGCGCGGTGCCAGACCTGCGGTTACGTCTCTGCTGTGCATTTGTGCTGGGCACAAGCGAGGAAAAACGCTTCTTGCTCCTCCTGCAGCTGCATGGAAACAACTTCCAAAGCCTGGCTGCCAAATTAAGGTGCCTCCCTCTTTGCCCATGCCTAGGATAGGGCACCTCTGCTTCCCCAAGGCGGCAAATGAGTGGAGGCCCCGTCTGCAACCATCTCCTCCGCAGCCGCAGAGCCCCTTGCGCGCGCGCCGCGCTGCAGCTGCGGGGAGGAAGAAACGCGGGCTCCCTGGCCGAAACGCTGGCAGGACATCCGTGTTTACAGCTGGAATTCTTGCTGCCAGCTTTCACCAAGGACAACTTGGAAGAGGAATAGGAAACTTCACATGATTATGAGGTCAACTTTTTTTTTTTTTTTTTTTTTTTTTGCTTTGCTTGCTTGGTGCCCCCAGCCTAGCACAAAGCTGCTGAAGTTAAGATTTATGCTTGCTTGCAAAAATTGAGCTTGAGCCATGACTTTTAGATGGTTCTTTTGTGTTATCTTCTACAGCAATTCCAATAGCACATTCAGTTGATTTTTTTTTTTAACAATTTGGTTTGCTTTCATTTGTTTCTCATTTCTTTCAGCTATCCCGCCTAGATTATCTGTGACTGTACTGTACCAGGAGCAACTTTAACTTGAGACATTYCTGAGTAAATGAGAAGTCAACACGTGTATTTGCAAAGCATGTTTAACTTGTGTCTTTCGTCTGTGATTAATATAAATCTATTGAGCTACATAAATAAGTAATTTGCTTACAAACTGTCAAACCAGTAAGAATTTCTTCCCCTCAGAATTTAAAACACTGAGATATCCATTTTTATTGCTTTATTTCCTTTTGTTTACTTGGAGATAAAAAACAGACTGCAGGACAACTTTCTCTCACAGGAAAGGAAGGGCCGCTCCGTTGCTGCTCTCCTCTGTCCATAGTCCATCACGTACAAGGCACATCTGCTCTGGATCTGCATAAAGACGTAGAGAGGGAATAAAAGAAGCACTTGGCCTGTTACTCGTGTCGTGGTGGTTTGTGCATGTGAAGTAGACTCCTGCTCGGCCTTCTGGTTTGCATCAGAGCCCTGTGAAATGGGCGTCATTTCTACCCAGAGACTAAGGATCTGTTTCTGTTCTCATGCAAATGAGATTAGCAGAGTTATATGAGCATAAAATCAGGGGCAAATGAGAGGAAACTTGTTCGCTCTTTTGTGCTTTTATGGAGTTGTGCTCCTTAAACACTAACAGGGCAACTGTGCTCGCAGGAGATGGAAAGTGTGTCAGCAGGCCCCTGGCCTCCAGAGAGCCATCCACTGCACTTAGGACTTGTAACCTTCCTATGCCATGCAGTGCTAGGCCTCGAAAGGAGGGCTATGAATGTAATTCCTTGGGACTTCTCTTTGGGAGAAATGGTCGGGGTGCTTTTCCTCACAACCCACCCAGCATCATTTTCACTGCAGGCAGAGATGCTGGTCGTGGGCTAAAGCTCTCGACCCGGGGGAATTCGCCTCCCTCCACCACACGTAAAGCCCTGCAGAAGCCATCGTAGTCCCTGGRAAATGGGGGTGGTGGGAGAAGCTGAAGAAATCTTGTAGCAGAGTATATTTAGCTTCCATCTCTTCCAGGATGATCCTTCACACCTCTCAGYTAAGCTTATCCAGCCCTGTTTCGAGCGGTGAAGTGTAGAAAGCTCTGTTGGGTTTGGTGCAATGGTGAAGGGGCCTGGATTTATAGTTCAGTAAAGCAGCCTCAGTACTGAAGGCATAAAGGGACTCCCCAGTTATTTGACAAGGACACTGTAAAAACAGTCTAGGTGAGAAAAGCTAAGTTAATTCCTGATATTATTTAGCTGCACTGAAAGGAGAGCAGAATTTTATGGCTGTGCAAAATCAAAAATCGGATCAAGATCTACTAACAGGATCTGCKAAAAGGGCAGAAATCACATTCACTGAGCTGCCCTTTCTCTGTCGTGTTTCTTTACTGTGCTTCACTTAATAAGATTGCAAAATACATTACTTAAAAGAGTGCTATTCTGTGCAGAGAGTAACCAGATTGTGGCTATCTGCTGTAACCAAAATGCTGACATTTCTAAATGGACATTATTTATTTCAACTACTTTGACTACAGCCMTTTCACATGGAAATAATTAAGAGGCAGAATGTATATCATTACAAAGGAATGAGAAGAAAGATCAGGAAATACCAGCAGATTCAATAATTTTCTAAAAATGGGTGCAGTATTTACAGTTAGTGAGTTAATAAAACTAAGGTTTTAATAAATCTAAATTAGCACAGGAGAGTAGTCATGACTCTGAATAGCAGATATTCCTATGCTAAGTCTAAGAGGAAACAGTTTAGATTAATGATTAATTTAAAATTTAAGACCAGGATAAAAAAAATGCATCTCATTTCATATACATACAAAATGGCAGGAATCTGAGTTTTAAAAGTGGTAAAAACTGGAAATTACAGACATATAAAAAGCAAACAGGAAATCAAAATCATGTAGTCTTGTATGGATTCCTTTAAAAGCATGGGGAAAATATAAATGTGCATAGAACCACATTCACAGAGATTTTCACATTCTTGAGATCAATCTAAATGCAACTGGCATATTTAAAAAAGAAAGGTAACGAACAAAATCTATTTCTAAAGCAGTCTTGCACAAGAAATACCATCATGGAGGAGATTTTTGTCACTACTAGCAGAGAATGAGTAAGGTAATTTTYGAAATGCATATATTGTAATAAAGGATTCTGAAACCCCATTTAATACCTCTTTCTGGTGAAGTAATTAGATGAATAGAATATCAGCACTAAACTATATGAGACAGACAAGACACTGCATCCATCATTACAGCTGGGGAGCCAAGATGTCCATGTCATTCAGCACCTAAAATAGCTCTCTGTATTTGCAGGGAAGTTTGGAAATCACTCCTAGCAGCTACAGCAGGTCTCTTTGTGGCTCTGCGCTGCAGTGCTCCATACACACGATTTCCGTATGGCCCAAGGCACCAGGACATCTGGCTGGAGCTAAGTGACACCAACTGCCCTTAACTCCTCCCGCGTGGTGGCTGCCTAAGAGACTGAATGMGCCTCTTGCCACAAAATCAGTTTGAGTTTTAAGACTGACCTTAGCAGAGCTGGAGTTTGGCTGGATGTGGAACTGGAACTTGGAACTGCCGTCAGCCGTCAGAAATATTCAATGCCTTGAGACTGGGTGAAATATCCCATTCATACTCTAAGTTTACCTGCAAAAGGGGATATCAGTTGTTAATACATAAATTCCTGTTAAACTGCCTGTTTTCCCCCTTAATAACAGTAATTACTAGGAAGAAGGCCCCTGATGTTTTYAGGAAGCTGTGCAGATGCCAAGTACAGGTGGCCACTATGTGCAGAGCAGAGCATGGGCAGAGGTCCCTCACCACCAGCGCGTGAAATGGGACATTTCACATAACCCGTGACACCATGTCCCCCTCTGCCCCCCTCCCTGTCCCACAGCACCTCGGCTGCCCTCCCAACTTGCAGCATTTAACAGCGGCACTTGTCTGGAGATGGCACAGCTTCCAGAGAGCCGTGCTGCCAGGGCGGGTGGTATTTGCCAACAGGGCTGTCATTCCCGCTGCTTCTCCCCCTCTGGAGCTTCTTGAAGGGAGAATGCAGGGAAGAAGGGGACAAGCTATTTTCATTGGTGGCCAGCGATACGACAAGGGGGAATGGACATAAGCTGAAACACAGGCAGTTCCATCTCCACGTGAGGAGGAACTTCTTTACTGTTAGGGTGACAGAGCCCTGGAACAGGCTGCCCAGGGRGGTTGTGGAGTCTCCTTCTCTGGAGGTCTTCCAAACCCGCCTGGATGCYGCCCTGTGCCACATGTTCTAGGTGTGCCTGCTTGAGCGGGAAGGTTGGACTAGATGGTCTCTAGAGGTCCCTTCCAACCTTGAATATTCTGCAATTCTGTGATTCTGTGACGCCGCACTGCATCCCTTGCTCCTCCAGGGCCTCTCCTGAGGCCTCAGGCTTCAGCCCTGCTAGGCCGCCGCTGAGCTTTCCTACTGGAAATGCAACAGATTTCCATCCCTATCCCAACTTCACGAGTTACTTTTGGCTAAAGAGTAATAGAGTACCCCAGGAAGCTAGGAGCCAGGATGACAAACTGTATTAATCTACTGTCTGTCCACAGAAAAATACCGCTTGTATAAAGAGCAGTCTTGGGTGCCACTGACATTTTGGAGAGCATTGCACATTTGACATAGTTTCTACTGGAGATCCCTTTAAATAGTAAAACTTTCGCACATTGGTATCCAGAGCTCTTACAAATTTATTTTTAAAGGGAATGTAGGTGTTCATGAGCGGTGGGTGTGAGACTGACAGCACTAGACCAGAGCTCTCCATTGCAGAAGAACTGCTGCACAGACTACTACACCGCTGACTTCTGCAATGAAAATATCAAGGACTGAGAGGGTCTTTCCACCCCTGTGTTTGTGTTTGTCCTCCCAGCTGAAGCTGATTCCCTTTGGGAATCATGCATGTGTGCATGTGTGTCCAAGCACTGGCTCGAGCAGACACCAGATTATCAAGCCTTCCAGACAATAATTACTTCCAAGCTTGAACTGTGCATCTGGATTTTAAACTCCATTGCCCCAGCAGTAGCTTTTTGCATGAAGTCACAAGTTCTGCCACAGGCACTTAACAGAAGGTTTGGGTTTATTTTTCCTCTATTTACCAGTGGTTGGTTCTTAGAAATTAATAGTGTAGACTCAGATACCTGTGCCTGTCATTGGAGATGCCAAAGGATCCCATCAGGTTTCTGAGTACTGGGATACACCTGAGAAATGTTGCTCTTGGAAAGAGATCACTCTGCAGCACCCATTTTCAGTAACTGGGGATATAGCTTGTGCTTCCAAGCATCATGTAATAAAGGACTCTGCCAATGAAAATGCTCACGTGAGGCTTCCGAGCCTTTCTGGCACTCCAGCTGACCCAGAAACACCTTGCGAAAAAGAAATCTGAATCTCTTTTTTTTCCCTTTTTCCTTCTTATCTGTTCCTTGAGCCACCTATTCCTCACAGGATAAGGTCAGTGGTGGTACCACCGGTGTAGAAGCTTGCCCTTTCTTTCGATATGCCAAGTATATCTTAAAACTAAATTAAGTGACTTCACACATTTTTCTCCAAGATTAGAGACATGCAATTTCCTTCAATCTGCTTCTCTGAATGTACCAGTTCTCAGATGTTAACCAAATGCTGTAGCTTTTTGCTCAAGTTATTATAAGGAATTCTTCTTTAGCCTATATTTTATTTCTTTGCTTCTTTTGAATAAATTAGGGTCAAGTTATATGTATTTCTCATTGGCTCTAGTCTTACACAGAGCAGGACCAAATTTGTGTGTGTGTGAGAGAGATCTCTCCCCAGCTAATTGGAGCGATCTCAATAATATGCTGTGTTTGTATGTTCAGCCCTCTGCTAACCAGCTAAGCTGTCTTTTCCTTGCACATTCAAGAGGGAAAAATCAGAGGTGGATCAAAGCTCTGCACCAGCTCTGCGTGCTAGAGCAGATGTGGGCAGGAGCGCCGTGACACCRAGTTTCTTTGAAGGCTTCATCTGCCTGTTAAGATTACACAGGAATATTTCCTCAGCAGGTCAGTCGGGTAGCTCTAATGAAAGGCCAATGTCTCGTACCTGCCTTTTCACATTCCATGTAGGAAATGAGAAGAATTTTGGATTCAAATCTGCCAAATTTGCCTGCTTTCAGTTGTAGAAAATCCTGTTAGAAAGACCTTTATGCAAAGAGATCAGTGCTGAAGCAAGCCAAAGGACTAGACTGAGGATGATCTGAAGGCTGCCTCTGCAGAGAAGATTTCCACAAAATARCAACCCAGCCTCTTGTGCTGTGAGATCAGCTGAAACTCCTCATTCAGGCTCTGCAGTTTATGGCAGCACCTTTAGTGCTGAAGTCTAGCTCTGTCCTGCTTCTGTTCATTTTTTTCCAAGCTGTCCTGACGTAGCCAGTTCTCTGAAGCACCTTTGAATCAGCGGAGACTCCGTGTTAAAGTGACTGAACAATGCGGCCACAGAGGAGTGGTTTTCATCAGGGCTAAAGATTTTGATATGCTCCTGGTCGTGAAATGTACTTGGGAAGCCCAAGTTCTGCACCAGATTAATACTGATGTCACCGGACTTGACTGGCSGTAACTGAAAGTGTTTGGGCTGCTGTAAGGAAAACGGCCACCTCCCTTTCCCTGGGAAGTCCAACAGCTTGACAGCCGGATCCTCCCGGCACCCATCCCACTAGTTAGGGGAGCAATGGCAATGCGAGTTTCCTCATAGTGGAGCACTGATAAGTCAAGTTATCTTTTAACTGTCTAGGTACTGCACGTACTTTATGTTACTGGCAACATAGGCTCATAGAATCACAGAATCATTATGACTGGAAAGGACCTTCAAGATCGAGTTCAACCGTAAGCCTATCAACACCAAGCCTGTTAAACCATGTCCGTAAGTGCCTCATCTACACCTTTCTTGACCAGTGCCAGGGATGGTGACCACCACTTTCCTGGGCAGCTGATACCAACTCTTCACAATTCTTTCCATGTAGAATATTTTCCTAATATCTAACCTGAGCAACAACTTTGCTTCTGACACTTCAGAGGACATCAGTACATGTTTCCTATCCCCTCCCCTCCTCTCCTCATCCCCATGACACCAGCAGGAGGTCAGTTTCCTAGAGAAGCCCAGGGCACCCGTGCCACCTGCCTCAGACTCCTCCTCTGTTCACGCAGCAGTGGCCTCTCTCTTTGTGGCAGATATGAATATTCAAGGTCATTGACTTGCACATTGGGTAAAGACAAGCTGCTGGTGCAGGTGGAGTCTGAGGGGGCTYGTGCAAGTGGTGAAGTGGCCCCAAACCAGGATCCAGCCCAAGTATCTGCCTTTCAATGCAAGGAGAATTCCTGTGTGACGCCTTGCAACACAGTTATGGTCACTATGTAGTATTAGGAGAATAGAGGGAGATTCACACTGGAAAATGGATTTTGTCCCAAATAGAATTATATATTTGTTATCACTATGGTACTAAGAGTCATTCAATAACAACTACAACATTAAGCTCTGGCCTATGTGACCCTCCTTACTTAGTCAATACAGTAATGCAGTAGTCTACTATGTTCAGAAATCCTGAATTTTCTCAAATAAGTGTTAAACAACAAGAAAAAAAGCTTGGGACTGCATTATCAAAACTGTTCTACTCATATTCTGATTCCTTTGTCTTAACTTACCTAAAAGGTTGTGARGTAATGGGGACCAAGTGCCAGTGACACTTAATTTGTAAAGAAGAAACAAAGGAAGTTGGTGTTGTGGCACACGGATATTAAAATAATAAAATAAAATAATAAAAAAAAAAGCTTGGCATTGTAAATTGAAATCAATGGACTGCAAAATTGTATTTGTTCTAGCTGGATAGAATACTTGCTGAGTTCCAAGCTGTTTATCCCCTTCTTAGAAGGGATAGAGTCTGCTCTGTTTGTAGTGTAATTGCAAGGCTATTGTGAAATAAGGCTTGGATCTTTTTATCTATGGAAGAATTTGTGCATACAAAAAAAAAATCTCACAACATCCCATGAGACACAAGTACTCGCCTTCTCTTACCAAAAGAATGAAGGGAAAATGGGTATTTTGTCCAAAGCGATGGAGCAAATCACTAATAGCACTGAAATTTTTGGCTGTCAGTCTTATACTGAGAACATTTGACTATCTCTGCCTTGAAACTCTTTCAGTTTCATGAACTGCAGGCAACATAGCATCTGAATAATAATAATAATAATAATACTTAATAATAAAACAATGCAGTGGATTAGGACAGCAGGTATACAATTGAGCGTGCCCCCCACCCCAGTACTCTTTTCCCAGACTTTTCACAGGTACAGTACAGAGAACTAAAATTTTCATTTCACCCTCCAAAGACCATGCAGTTTTTACACTCTTCAACTTAAGGATGAGCCACCAGTCCGAAATACCTTAATAGGCTGGAGAAGATTGTTGTCAGGTGGGAGAAGGTACAGTCAGACAGGAAGCCTGAGAACCAGGATAAGCCTTGCCAAGGTTCGCCAACAGGATAAGGCAAAAGCCAGAAGGAAGAGACAGCTCAAATGAGCACATCTTATTCTTTGAAGTGAACTGATGATGCTTGAATTGAAAAGAATGCAGTAAAAAGCTTTTTTATAGCTCAGTCCAAATATTACCAAATATTTTGCTGACAGAAAGCCTGGAACTTGCAAGTTTTGCTTCTATGGCCTTGCAGTGTTCAGTTTGCAGTAGGTGCCTGTTCTAGCCACCAGGATCAGCCTACCATGGTGACATATCTTGTAAAATGCTTCCTCAAAAACTAACCATATGGAGTTATGCTATGCAAAGCAGTTATCAAAAAATAGATACCAGCTCTGTCCTTGATATTAACTATGATCTTTTGGATGACTGCAATCAAATATGAAAAAAAACCAGCATTCATTATGAATGTGATTTACATCTTCTCAATTGTAAAAATTATCAGAAGAATATCTTATTTAAATCAGCATTCTTTAAATAAGTCTTAAAAATTAAACTGATTGGAGAATAATAAGCCTAACCATCTCTTTGCTGGCTTGAACTCTTATGTGTATTTTGAAGGTCTTCAAAACAAGAACTTTTCATTAAGAAATATAAGCCACCATTATTCTTTTCAGCTCGTATCAGCTACTCAGTTTGGGACAAGAGTTAATTTGGGTTTGGTCCCTTAGGATGAGAGTGTGGAAGGAGTCGGGTGATTCTTCAAATCTGCACTTTTGATGAAGGCAGGATGCACAAAGCCCCTTTTCCCTTGAACATTCCAGGTAAAGGTTGAGCAAGAGGTAGGGATTTGCTTGCAATTGCAAGCGTCTCTGTGGGAAAGTGCTGTGCCCGACGTGCCCCTCTGCTTTCTCTGTCCTGCTTGTCTATCCCACAGGGAAATTGCTTCGCTCAAGCTGATCTCTGCATTAATGGGTACATTAGCCCACAGTTAAACCACCCCGCTCGCTCAGTTCAGAGTGTTCTGTTTTCTGTAAACAAAAGAATTGCTAATTAGTCTGTTTTATGGCAATGGAAGTTCTTTGCACACATCATATCCAGCAAGGCTTCCCCAGTGCAGAATACATACGAAATACACTCTGAAGCAGCRTTCAATCACCATCATTTTAAGTGCTGCCCCGCCACTACTGCCACTTCCTGGGCTTGTAGCCCGCAAGCGGAGACTCCAGCATCAATCACTTTTGTTTGCTTTTATACACACGGCTGTCGTTTAGAGTCCCTGCTTCTCAGAACGAGAAGTGCGAGGCCATGGGGAGCTACCAGGAGCCTGGCTTCACTGCCCACGCCATTATCCTGGCTATTAACTGGTATTGCCTCTGATGGCTTTTTGGCAGCCTGTGCCTCCCAACGTGCACAGCTGACACTAAGGTAGAAACRCTGGTAAATAGGACCTGTCTCAGAGCCTTCCCACTTGGGCAGCATCAGGACCTGATGCCACCTGCCATGAGCTCAGGCACTCCTAAACACTGCCATCCTTGGCCAGTGATGCACAGACTGGGGATAAAGCTCTTCAATAACAGCTGGCCTAAGAACAAAAAAGGAGTGCATTTTGTTTCTTAAAAGGCTATGTATAGGGAAATATGCTTTTTTTGTTTGTTTTGTTTAAAGGTTTACCTACAAAGCATGGACAAGCTCTGGCAGTCAGCATGAAACATTCACAGAGTGCTTGCTTGTTGAAGGGAAAATAGATCATTTCTGTGGGATCCTGGTGCTTCCCCTCCTTCCCCTCCAGCAGTTTCTTGTTCACTTTCTTGCCTATTAGCAAACTAATCTTAAGTGTATTTCAGGGAAAATGCGCTGGGCGACACATGGTGTGAGAAGGTGGCAATGAGATTTGAGGCCAGTCACTCGGCTGGTGGCAACCAAGACGGCTCCATGGTTTTCTATACGCTAAGCAGCCGAGCCAAGGGATCTTTGGCCCCTGTACAACCCAGTGTTGTATGTACACTCACATGCACACGCTGGCAACAGAAGAAAAAGAAGACAAACAAAGGGCCCTAAGCTACAGCACTGCAAAGATTACCAGTAACTAAGCTGAGCAAAGGTCTACCTCGCAGTGCTAAAGAGCGGCCTAACTTTTGCTTTTATGGCCGATAAGATTTTCTGCCAGCCATTGTTAGGCTGAAAACTTTTTTCGAGCAGAACCAAGATTAACAACTCGCTTTTATGTAGCGAATCTGATGGAAAAAAGAAGTCAGAAAGTGCTTTAYGAAGAAGGTCAACACGGTTATCTCCATTTCACAGAAAGGAAAGCTGAGCAGCACGAGCGGCGATGCCTTGTGCTGCATGAGCGTGGAAGAAGACTTGGTCATCTTAGACTTSCTGAATTTCAGCCCAGACTCAGAAATGATTATAGAGAAAGGCCAGCCTTGCTTTAWTCGGAGTTATACACCTCGCAGGGCTTATAGTACGAAGATTTCCTAACGCCGCAAGCGCTGGTTGAGCGCCATGACGTTAGCGGCTGGGATCCTATGTACGGCAGGGCGCACGACCACGTTCCTGCACAGTCAGCGCGCGTCTGAAATTACAGCACTTCAGCTGCCTTGCAGCCAGCCCCACGCGGGCACTCGTGCGGCCTGGGGCTTTCAATGGAAGTGATGCAAGGCCCGGTGACGTGGAGGGCAGCTGCAGGGAGCACACGGGGCGAGCGGGAGCCGGGGGAAGGGGCCGAATCTCTCGCCGTTCCACGATCTCCGATCGTGGAACGGCGAGAGATTCGGCCCCTTCCCCCGGCTCCCGCTGGACACTTGGACAACTTGGCTATGGAGGTGGGAGCTGGGCCCAAACGCAGGCCCAAAGGCCTACCTTTGGGCCCAGCCCAAAGTAGAGCTGCCTTCCATAGGGCTGGGCTTTGCTCATGGAGCCACATCCTGCTCCAGGAAGCAAGCGCCCCGCGCGGGGACGTTGGGTGTCTGCTTGAACATGAAACTTCGGGAGCAATTAAATCTGGCTGTAAACACTGGGGACGGTGAAAGAGGAGATAGCCGCACACAAACAGGGCGAGAGGCGAGCTCCTTTTTTGGTCCTGGTCTGATTCTTTGCCTCTGAGGAATACAGAGCCCTTCTGGAAAAAGAAAAAGAAAAAGAAAAAGAAAAAGAAAAAGAAAAAGAAAAAGAAAAAGAAAAAGAAAAAGAAAAAGGGAAAAAGGGAAAAAGGGAAAAAGGGAAAAAGGGAAAAAGGGAAAA